ATAACTCAAAAGAATCTAACAAACAAATAACAAAGTATTTTGGACAAGTATTTACAATGAAGCATGGGAAAATAATTCCTTTGCTTTAAGACTTTTCTACTTGAAGAAGTTTCTGAAATTACATGCAAAAATTGCAATAGTATATGGAACGGGGAGGGTAGGAGAGGAGCACACTCTTTAGGAATACTTTTCCCACAGTCCTTTTCATTTACTTGCTGCCAAAGGGAAACTTAGTTTCAAGCAAGCTGTTTTAGAATACTGACTCCCCCCCCCCCGCCCCCAAGCCATACAAACTGCACCTCGTCTGGTGTTGCAAACTACTGAAGCTTAGAGTATATAGAATTAACTATGTCTCCTCTCCGCATGTACGCCCTGTTCCAATGTACAAAGGCCTCTGGGTACACTGCTGAAGGATCTATTTTATACCCGATGTGCAAAAAGGAGGTGGGGAGGGGAACCCTGCTTTCCAAATCCAGAATTGCAAAATAAGTTAGTCTGTCTCGTATGTTTTTACGCTATGTTGATTCCAATTGATACTTTAAATAGATATGTTAAGTAACTCTTCTGACATAAAATAAACTCAAACAAGAATTTTGGTCTTAATTCTTCTGTACTGAAGGTAGAAAAAGTGGTAAATTCTCATATAACTTATATTATAGTTTAATTCAAGCCCTAATCCAAAATTCTACTCTGTATTATTCATTGCAAACTGCAAAGAGAAGAGGGGCAGAACACTAAGAGTACAAATCTTTACAGACCGCATCAAATAATTATCTTTAAAATATTACTATAAAGTTCTTATACATCAAGAGAGAAAAAAAAAGACCAAAGATGCAGACAATTAAGTCAACAATCTGGTCATCTTGAAATGCAAACTGTTCTCCACTCACAGTGGACGCTACTCCTGGAGAAAGCCAGGGGACAAACAAGGAACAAGAAACGGCGTTAAGTGAGACCATAAGTGTTTCTTAAAAAAAAAAAAGGGAGGGGGAGGAAATCTGAGGTAGGAACGCTATCATCCTGTTACAACATTCAAAATCCCAACTCCATCTCCCTCCATCTTTAGGAGATTCTGTCTTCCTAATCCAGATCTAATTCAGCATCAAAAAAATCCAGATACTAGGAACAGGAAAGCCTGCTAATTTTCAGAAAAAATTGTTTTATGATTTTGGCTATTAAGCCACCAGGTTAAGGAAGACTAGGGGGATGGGGGGCAGGGAGGGTCTCAAGTTTTCCTAGCTCTACAAATGAAGTCCCCCAAACCAGGTCTACTCTAGCTGTAGTAACAGAAAAGGGAGAGTTTATACACCACTCCGGCAAAACTGCTTTTGTGGGCAAACCTTCCATTTGGGTGTACTACAGTCACTACTTGGTCTGCATCCCCCTACAAAGTAGTCATAACACTTTTAACACCTTTTAGAGCTTCATTCTCCTGAGGAAGCCTGCAATGAAAGAGCATTTATTTTCCTTGACAACACAGGTAAAGTGCAGCCCCATTCCATTTCTCAGTTTAAGTACTGCACGTTCATGTGGAGCAGCTCCCTGATTTTTCAACTGAAATTAGGTACTGTTTCTTTGATTTGGAGGGATAAAAGAGAGATTAGTGGAAGACGGAAAGAAGTTAACAATGTTATTAGCCAATTCATCTTCCACCAGCTTCACATATTAATCATTCATATAAGGCAAATGTGAAGTTTAGAATTTAATTCCAGCCAAATCAATACAAACATGAGAAGTCCAACTAAACTCAAGCAAGAAGCTAGGAAATTTCCTAGCTTCATCTGGACAATTCTGTAGTCAGTTCTTCCACTTATACTGAAGACTGCGAGATTATTAGAATATATCAGATTGCTTGGGAGCAGATAAGGAAGGACAACTCAATGAGCTGGCACACCTCCGAATGCCTGTAAGTTTGTTTATTTTCACTAGGTTCTCAACTTGGACAGGATGCTAGAGAAAGGATATAGCTACTTGCCTGTTCAAAAGACAGACCAAAAGAGGTAAATGTTTTAAAGGGATTTAAATAAACAGTTATGCACACAACCACCTTGTGTTGTTAAATTAACCTTACAACGTTAGCTTAACTTTCTCCTCACGTATCCCGCCACCTTGATTTGTAACTTTCACTTATTACTACTAAATGATCAGCATTTCAAAGTAAGGAAAGGATTTGTTTTTTCCCTATGAAATGCCTAGCATATTAAACCATCAAAACAAATTCTTCTTTCTCTGCTCCTGCTCAGAAGCCTAATAACGGAGTTACTTAGCAACAGAAAAAGCAACTGAACTGCATTCACTTGTCCACATTTCACTGTAAAATAACACTCAAAGGCATTATTTAGCTGCTAGTCACCTTGGTATTAATGTATTTTTGATGAATAAAAACCACTAGTCTGAGACAAGCCTACATGTAAACCCAGCCAGCATGTACCATCTATAATATGTTACAGTTTGAAGTTAGTAGAAATTACCTGTAAGATCTGTATAATTTTGAGCACCTCTGGAACAATGGGAGAAAGATGAAAATAAATATAAACCCTACTGAGTTCATCTACAACATATATACAAAGAAGGTACAAAAAAAGGAACGACCCATCCTTCTTTGTAGAGCGGACTGACTTCAGCTACAAAAACCAAGTATGCATATTAAGTGCACTTTTCTTGCCACAGAATATTTTGATTTCAGAGAACGATTACTTAAGTTTGAACCCAAAACACACGTTTCCCTAAATCCCCTTCTCCATCAATACAATAGGAAATAAGAAGTGACAGAGCAAGTATCAACAGTGGCTTTATTTTAAAAGGCTATCTTAAAAAACAAAAATAATCCACAGAACTTGACACAGTAAACAACTGATTAGCATTTGTCACCAGTGATTACTCCCCTTTAAGCTAACTCCATGGCATTAACCAATTCTAATTTTCTATTTTAGAAGGTGAAACTCTTATTTTACAACTGCCTGAAAACTTATCGTAAATTGACTTGGTTCATGTAAGATTATGCTTCCACAACAGTAAGTTTTAAGAGTCCCTCACCCCAGGAAGGGGAAAGGCTGGCAATTTTGTTGTCTACCAGGATCATCAGCAAGTACTGCTTTGTTCCATATATTCTACATCACAGATTTCTTAGCAGCTTTATAATTTATTTCATGTTTACATTTCTAGATTAAGATTCAAGAAACTTGAATTTGGACTTTATGAAGTCAAAGTAAGTTTGCCATAAATTTATTTTTCCTGATCATTAAGGTAGGACAGAAGCATTAAATGAAAATAAAGATTGAAAGCTCATTCACAAAAAATTGTGCAGAGAGTTAATTTATGAAAATTACTTGACAAACTTTCACAAATAATAAAATAAAGTTTTCTTTCTTTCTTTATTTCTTTATTTTCTTTTTCCACTTAAAAATTCAGTATTACATTCCAATAATGGAAGTGACTAAATAAAGAATGCAACTGAAGAACATACTTCCTGGGTTGTCTTAAAATCAAGGAGGTATTTACTATGTCTCATTTCAACTGCTAACTTAAATTGCTTTTCAGATAGTAAAGCCATAGAGTTTTTGAATGTTAATAATTGGGATGTCAACTAGTTTGGTTAGATTTAAGTTTGTAAATTCTCTGTATAACCTGAAGGGAACAACTGCAAGATGGTCAGATTACTAAGGAAGGTCAGATTACACAGTATTCAAGATTCTTTACAGCAATCATGCACTTTTGTAGTCATTTCTATATATACACAAGTACATATTTATTTATACACACACACACAGAGAGTCTTTGTGCACAATTGCACAGCCTTTCATGTACACTTATGCAGACCTTGAACATGCACAACAATTTTTTCTCTTCTTAAAAGATAATTAACACTATAGATTTCCCTATCTTTCTTCAGTTAACTTCTGCAGTATTTAGTTTTTCTTGCAGGCTTTTACGAATGTTAAGGTCTCTTATTTAAGAAATTTTCAGGTATGAAGACAGATATTAAAAGGATTTTTTTTTTACAGTATTCAAGATTCCATTTTGCTACTTTAAAAAAAAAAGAAAAAACCTACAATCTTTCTCTCTTTGAACTATTCTGAGACCTCCATTTTGGCCATTATCTCCAATTTCTCAAATTCTTGCAGTTCTGACTAAAGTTAAAAAAAAAAAAAAAAAAAGAAGGGGGGGGTAAAATGGTAAATGAAACCCTCTTCTGCATTAATATCTGTTTCTCTACTTGAGGCTAAATATCAAATGGCTCAGAGTACACAGTATGCCATTTTCTAACAAATGCAATTTATTTGTTCTAGTTCAACAGTTTTCAGAGTAGAGTTCATCACCCTGACATGAGCTGAAAGATAAGAATTAAACTGCAAGCAAACTTTTCTATTTACAAGCATGGAAAATGAAAAGGAAGTTTAATGCGTTGCTCTAGCATACTGTTTAGTAGATACCAGCTTTAAATATTAGAACCTGTCACTTCAGAGACCACATATAATAATTAGGACACAGAAGACTCCTATTACTATTCAAAAACATCTTTCTGCTACCAGCATAAGCACACTGCTGTACTATATCCTGATGAGAAAGCAACATATTTTAAGAAGAGATGATAAGAATTTTTTTATTTGCAGTGAAGAACTTCACCTCCAAAAATGTTTAACTTAAAAACACTTTCTACTGTAGAAAAACATACTGGTATAAATAAAAAAAATACATTTTGCATGGACTTTGCTTCTCCCATATAGGCCAGACATCTCCCAAACAATTACTTCTAGAATGTTGTGTCAAAAAGCAAAAGTTAATAACGATCTGGAGCACCATTAGTCTGACATATATGCTGAGTCAACTTGAGCTATCTCTGTAGAACTTAAATTCTTATACCTAGAGAATATTAAGCAATTTGCCATCAAAGGAGTCATTCTGAATAAAGTTTTAAATAGACAAAGAACAAGAGAAAGTTTTGACAATGAAAATGCTATTAAGAAAAAAAACCACACACACCCTTGATGTGTACTTACTAATTTGTTTTCTTGCATGTATATTCTTTGTAACTTCAGACAGCCTTTAGCAATAATGATCATTCCTTCATCTGAGATCTTGTAACATTGCCCAAAATGAATGTCTTTCAATTCTCTGCACTTTGAACCCAGCTGCAATCAATGAAATCAAAGCAAGTATTATTAAAAATACACACACACAAAAACAAAACAAACACATACATAACCAAACTCAACAGCATTTGACGGAACAATAAGTTTGAGCAGTTAAGATTTGAGGGGTTTCTTCCCCTTTAAAAAGCATCTTTGTTTCCAGGTTTTAACAGTACTGTATATACACAAGAAAAACTATGATTATGCACATGGTAAAATGAAATTGCTAACTACAGTCACCAAAAAAAGCTAAGAGTAGCACATAAGAACTCATCTGTTTATAGGGCATACCTAAGTAGCTAACAATACCTGCATGCTAGACAGTGACAGCATATGTGATTTAACATAATTACTTCACAGTTTTGTGCTAAATATTCTTTTAAGATTAACAGAGATACAGTTCATGAAACCTTCTCGTATGTCTAACGAACAACGGTTTCAATCACTTTCTGCTTTCATGATGGAAATGAGAGTTACTTTAACGTAAGTTCCAAATAGCAACTAAGCACACGAAAACTTGACAAACAGCTATAGGTAAATTGCAGCAGGCCAAACCGGAGATCTCATTATAAAAGATATCATTTAATCCCTGAATTAAAAAAGACAAAAAAAGTATATACAGTCTCTACATGACAGCATTTACTGCACCAAGAAAATATATGGCCATAAACCTAGTTTTCCAAGTAAAAGAGAGCACTTGATTGTAATTGTATTCTGCAAAAGGATAAATATTCTTCCACATCCCTTTTTGTACTTGGTAAAAAAAGTTGGAAAATATTAAATTTACAAAATAAATTTGTTGAACGGGTGGTTACCTGCTTTAGGCCTTCATCAGTGAGTCTGTCTTGATTCCCTACATGTACTTTCTGAAGAAGAGGACACTGAGAGGCAACTGCAATAATAGAGGTGTCAGAAAGCTGTTTACACCTGTAGGCAGTATACCTTAAGAGTCCAGGACATTTAAATGCTAATAGGCATACTCCTGTATCAGACACATTGCGACAATCAGAAATATTGATTTCAGTAATATTCTGGCTTCTTGATGCTATCTTTTCCAGTAGTTCATCAGTAACCTGCAAACAAAATTCAAATACTGAAATTTAATTTTTTTTCATAAACATCTTTGCTTCATTCACATAAAAACTACTATTTGCATGACATGTTTGCATAAACTATGAGAATAATGAAAGTTTCATTTTCTGAGATAAGAATAGACTGCTGTAGTAAGCTTTACACTTAACTCCAAGGAGTCTGCTCCAGTCCTTGGAGAGAATAAGAGTTAATGGTCCTCTTCATATTCTACACAAAGAATTCTCCATCCTTTAGAAAAGAGTAGCTTGCCCTTCTATAGCAGTGCTCTATTTATCCAATTAAGGCAACATTTACAGAGAAGTAAAAGGTTTATATTTCTCTGAAATGCAATGCATTTTTACTTAGGTGTTGGCAATCATCCAAAACCAGGTGCCAACCAATATACAGACAGACAAATACTACAGTGATGCAGGTAGCAGTGAGCTTCTTAAAAACTGAAAAAAAAAAGAGATTAAGATGCCACTGAACAGAAAAAAAAAAAAGAAATACCATAATAAAAAAGGGGGGGCATAATTAAAAAACAGAAGTTTCTTCCTGTTACTTGTTGAGTTAAAAATAGAATATGTGAATACTTTAAGTGTTATCTTTGATTCAATAGTCTTTTGTAGGCTATATGCACTATTTTTCCCAGAATTCCTTTGAAGAATAAAATAAATCTCTCATCCCCTTTTTTTTTAATCTATACATACTGTAATTAATATACTAGTAATTTTAAAATATGCCAATCCTGCAAAGCAGGTAGAAAACATAAGATATTCTTCATGAAGCTGAAGAGTTAAAATAGAACAAAAAATAACCCCAAATCACAACAAAAATAACCACAACAACAACAACAACCACCCAGCGTTGTTAAGACACAATGCATATCCTTTAAAGTGAGGAAGTTTTATTTGCTTTCAGAGTTTAGTTTCAGAGTTTAGTTTAGTTCATAAAACCTGATGTTCTTCATGCCAAAATCTTTCCAACAAAACCACACAAGAATACTTAGGATAGGTGAGATCTTGCTTTAACCCTGAAGAGGACAAGACAGAACCACATAAATCCCTTCTGTTGTTCATTTCTTGACTGTGTAAGAAACGAACGTTTTCTGTTGCACTCAATTTGTTTTCCATTAATAGCAAGTCTGATCTCTTTTCTTGTCATTTCATCAGCCCAGCTGTTAGCTATAAAAATAAAAACTGAAAAACAAACCACATACAAGATGGACAGTACTTGTGCTTAATATTGATTTAGGAACCTCTACAGTTTGCAGGATAGTTTTTAAAGGAAATGCCGCGATTCAAAATTCAGTGAGATCCTAACATACCTAGTAGGTAAAACCATCAAAAAGCTCCAAAGCTCTCCAAGGGTCCTTCTCCTCTACTCACTATCTTCATGAAACTCAAGAAGCTAGTATTTTATGGACTTCTACAAGTAACAAATTAATAAGAAACTTAAGAGGGGTGGACAAATAGTTTAGACAACTTTAGAAAAGTTTTCCACAGGGAAAAGTTTCCCTGAGCAATCTAAGGCTATGGTCTACAAGAATCTCACTAAACACAATCCATGAATCCCAGAAAAATTTAGTTCTAGGACCAGCTACAGAACTTAAAAGATAGATTCTATCTTTAACCGATGACTCCTACTGGCAAGAAGGAAAATAAAAGCCTGTCAAAGCAAACTGAGCAAGAACCAATTGGGTGACCATTCTTCAAAACACAGCAGCCTTAAAAAAGTTCAGTGTAAGAGATTTGATAGTTCTGATGAATGGAATCACCACTGTTTAACGAGGATCTGACACAGGTAACCTACAATCCATTCCATATAGCACTTGTTCTGTCCCTGTTTAACGATGGACATCAGTCCAAGTGATAGTCCAACTATCACAGTTAACAATGGACGTGATCTACATTCAAAAGAGTTAAACTAAGATTTCAGACGCTTTTGGTCTCTAGTATGAAAAACCTTGAAAGCACTGAGGTCCTTGTAAGCGCCTTTTGTTTGTTTTTGGTCAAAAGTACAAGTTCTGAGAACAAATTCTGAGTCATCCAAACAATTTTTCACAATGATACCTTCATACCTGTTGACGACTACTGAGATCCAGCTGCTTCCAAAACTGAAAATCTAAACACAGGTCACGCCAATATTTACAGACTAAAGATGCTGAAAGGCAACGCTCATTCAGGGATAAATTGGAAAATATCTGTAAAGAAAGGGAAGAGATATATATATATATTTGTTAGGTGAAGTAGTCTTATTTGGAAGAGAATTATTTATTAACCAGTCTTGTATAAAGCAGAAAGATATTAACATGCACTGTAACATACATTTCTAGAATTCACCCTCATCTTGATTAGCCAAGGACAATAACAAAAACCCACACCCTGCAACAGCTGACAAGTTAGCAACAGCCACATTAGCAACAACAACAAAAAAGGAACAGAATGAATCCTATGCAAGTAAAATTCTGTCAGAAATGAATAGATATGCTTCTGAGATAGCATACTTAAACTATTACAAATACAATTATTAGAACAACAGAAGTCTGCACATGTCATTTACAAGCAGTAAAAAAGTGTCTTTATTCCTATTCTGATCTACATTGAAAATAAATATCTTTCTATTCAGTTAAAAAATAAAATCATAAGGGCATTAAAACATCAGTGAGGGGAAGGAGGCAGCGCAAAGATCAGAAGAGCAAATAAGTGTAATACAAAAAAACAAAGTATAGAATTAGCATTTTATACCCTAAAGTTTTGAGTGCTGTAGGGCTACAGCAACCTGCGAAGAAGGAATAAACTGTAACTTTATGGTAGGCTCACATAAATTGCTGTTATAAGCATTATATTCAGTCTTTCCACAAAAATACTATTATAAATTGATACAAAAAGAAAGTCTATCAAGAGTGAAATATGAAGGTGCCCAGTAACCACAAATGAACTTGAATCTACAGGTTATTCTAAAATGAAAAAAGGCAATTACAATATTAGGATGTCTAAACAGAAGCACAGCTGCAAAATATGAAACAGCTCTCCCACTCAGCTGATGCCTTGCAAGTACTACGTAGAAGTACTACAGCCACTTGTGCTTCAGGGGGGGAAAAAAAAAATCAAAAAAATAATCAAAAAATACACACACACAAACACCAAAACAAAACCACCCACGCAGAGGAATATTGGAAAGTGTTTGTAAGAAAGCACTAAGGTCTAGAAAACATTCCAAGAAAAGACTGAGACTATTTAGCCTAAGAAAAGGGAAGGCAAAGGGGGGGAAGGGAGAGGAAAAAACAGGAAGCAATACTTTCATCATCTTCGTGGTGGATCAGACAGTTAGCTTCAAAAATTGTTAGATTTCTAAACTAAGAATAATGAAGCATTAAACTATAATATTTGATAATTTACAGAATTTCCATCACCGGTGGTCTATAAAACGCACCAGACAACTATCAGGAATAAGACAACCTTTATTGCCTCCTTGTTCTAGGGGATGGTTTAAATCAGCAGTTTTAGATCTATATATCCCTATAAAAACCCCTTGGAGGAAGGGAGTTGGTTGACTGCTCCTAAGAGAGCTGCAAGAGATCATGAGCCAGGGGCAGGAGGAGACGAGCAACACACCTCCTTTAAATGCAAGTGATATTCACCATTTCCACCTTTTTCCATCTCCAAAAAAAGGTCACAGTCTCCTACGTAAGAGAATCCTTAGAGTGCTGAAGGATTCTGTCTGAAGCTGCCCCTTTCTCCTGCCAGCCTTTGATTGATTATTACCAGAGTCAACGAACGTTTCTTATTAGGAAATAGGTTGAACATGGGCAGGCTGAAATGCTGGCAGAAACAGTCAACACCCATTTCCTCCCTGCAGTTCTTAGTCTGCATTGGTGACTCCACTTCCAAGAGCAGAGTGAGGAGATGGCTGTGAATGGTACCCAAAAAAATGCTACTGCCTCAAAGGAAAGAGCAACAAATAAGTGGTGACTTGGCAAGAGATCTGACATTCCTACCACACCTGTATAGTTTTAGCCATTAGACACTAAATGTTGTTTAAAAAGTCAATACTGGAGAAAAGTTTTCAGCATCTTTTTGATTATTCTCAGCAATACTAAGCTATTAAAACAGCAGGGAACTTGAGAGTTCTTGGTATCAGTATGAAACAAAATATTTATGTTTTGTTACAAAAAATCTCAGAAGAGAACAAGGTAAATCTGATGCATGTTATGTTTAGGTGGACATCAGACTTGCCTGAGACAATAACTACTAGAGATGCTGAGGATGGCATTATGAAATGCTTGAAACTATCTAATCTTTGTTACAAATGGGAAATAAATATTCTCATTTGTGGAAATAACATATTCATGCCAAGAAACCAGAGTGTGCAGTTCTTAAAATAAGAACACAGCAAGTATAGAACAGAAAAGCTGTTGCTAATCCAACTGCCACTGTGAATACAAAAGCTCATAAATCATATTTTTGCTTAAATCATGGTGTTACCAAAGCTAAAAATTCTCTGCACAATTCTGTTGAAATGAATGGTTGAAAGCATTTAAGGTCACATTTTAGTCCACTCTGTACATAACTCTAGTTGCAAAGAGCAGTAAGGATTCTAGAGGTGTTACCAAATACCATAGAAGTATTTTGAATACTGCTGTGAAAAACACAGCTTCTCTTCAGAGCTTGCAATTATTAAAACAAACACACACAAAACAAAAACTAAAAAACTTCAACAATAGCAAACAGAATTTATTAGCAAAACCTATATGTATTCCACGTAGTGGCACAGCATTCCAGCAACAAACCTTGCGCATGCTCAGGATCTTACTTCAAAGGGACTACATCAGTTGATAGTGAAAAATACTACATTACTGCATGAAATGCTACGACTCACATTGATGACCACCACCACTTCTATCAGTATGTACCTAGAGAATGAAACCTGCATATGTGGCAGCCTACTTACTCTAAGTACAAGCTGCTTTCTAAAACCCAAGTCTGTACAAATATGGTAGAAAACCAAAAGCATTCGTTATTCAAGTCACTGAACTCCTACCTATGAAAGGTAACTTTTTGGGGGTAGAAAGTCCTCCAGTTAATTCCCGAAACTAGTACCCAAGTATTCCAAAAAATCACATTTTTTCCCCCCCTCATTCACACTCCCAATCCGTCTCTCCCCCAAGATTTGACATATCCTTCAGCTGTCTGGAAAGAAAGAAAATACAAGTTAAGCAAAGTATTTTCTAAATGCATTTCGTTCTTTTATACTAGCAAAACAAAAGGGTCAAAGAAGCGCGCACACACACCCCAACACGCACACGCATACCTCTCACCCACTTTCAGCACTCCAAGCACTAGTCAAGATAAGTGGGTTTTCCTTCACCCTCAGCAGAAGGAAAAGATTTTTCCAGGGCCCCAGGCCACATCCTATTTAAGTCCCAGTTTAGTCCTAAGTAAACCATTGATGTTCATCATTGATGATCTTATCATAATTCCGAGATACAGTCAGTTCACTAGGAGTCAAGTTCTTCAAAATAACCGTTCACAGCCTCATTAACGACCATAGTGGAAAGAAAAACCTAAAAACAATGTATGGAACAATAAAAGTCAACTACTAGACATATCTAATAGTCAGTCACACTGCACTCAGTTTCCTACACTCAATTCAACAGTCCAGTTTTATTTCCTTGACACATATAACCATACAAACCCCCCAAAAGGAAAGGGTTCACAAGTTGTCGCACCTTTAAGCGACAAAATACAACCACCTCCACGATACTTTCTCTGGTGTATCCGTGCACACCTGTGGCAATCCACAATTCTGGACCAGATCACAGTTCAAATGATTTTAAGCCAGCCAAATTAAGTCCTTGCTTAGCACGCTGTACACTGTCAAAATTCAGTGCCTGACCAAGTTTTGGGAGGGTTTGTTTGTTTTCCCAATTTTTCTGAATAAATATTTTGCAAGGCAACAGATGGGGAAGGGAAGAAGAAACTGCTCGAGAATATTACTGAAGGATCCAACCAGAAATGCTAGAAATAAAAGGTTTTATGTTCAACTGTCACCTTTACCACAGAGTTCCTATATGATAGGCTCAGGCTTAACACTTCCCCACTGTTTCTCCATAGACAGCTTTTAAAGGCATGCTAGATATTTCAGGCTGTGTATTCAAAATTGACTACTTCGCATAAATGAGAGTGGGAATGTTTAGCACTTCAGTAGGAACAACAATAAAAAGAATATAAATATCCTTTCTTAAAACACTAAAGATGTAATTATGATATTTAAATTTTATGTCTTAACCTTGATAAATGTATCCATAATATCCACAACTCAGTAATTTTGGCCTTGATCCTTCCAAAGAAGCTCAGTCAAGTGAAAAATACCTAAATGCACTTCTTAAAGTACATTATGGAAAAAAAAAAAAATCACAAGAACCATGATGGTTCTTGGTACTGGAAGAAAAGTACAATACTAGAAAATTCCCCATGTGCTTGCTGATACCATGCCCTCAGCACCAAAACTTCCAAAAATAGAGATTTCACATTGCAAAAATAAAACATGGATTAAACAGAAATCAAGTAAGAATTTAAATTATCAGAAGGCAATCATGCTTTTAAAACAAATGATTTTTAACATACAAACAAGAAGTTAGAATTATTGTGTTCATGGAACTAAGAAGCTTTTGGTTCAAGAACAGAAGCAAGAAAATGTAGTTGAGTACTAATATCATTATTTAAAGATGCTAGCAACAGTAAGAATAAGCTTCCGGCTTTAAGACAGGGAAGACAAAACAGACCACAGATCCTAATGCAGAAAGATTATAAAAGGTCACCAATCTCCAACTTCTCTCCACTGTTGTCATTTCAAAGATCTTTCAAACTAATTAGAAAAGTAAAGACTTCTGTAAATAAAGCGTTCTTTTATCACTAGAAATTTTTTGCATCCAGCAAAAATAGGTATCTATGTAATTATTTCCATTACATTGTATCAATTATATCTGTTTTGAAGACAAAAAGTTCATGGTATTAACAACAATAGTATATATAGAAAACATTGAAACATAAAGTAAAAACATGGAGGCAAATATTTTCTTCTATTACTCATCATGGTGCCCAATGAATGTGATATATTAATTCTTGGAAAGTTGCCTATTTGTTTCATCTACTGGGTGTAAGTTGTTCAAGTAACTAATTTAAGTTTCATTATCAAAAATAATTCTGAAGAACCACTCAATAAAAGGAACATGCTTAGTATGATCTGTTAAACACAATATTTGTGAACTACACAGACATACATATTTACACTCCATCTAATTTTCCACTGGTTTTATGTTTATGAGGCAAATAGTTTGTTCTGT